ACCCTTTTTATATTTCTTTTTGCGTCTTAAATTTCACTTGTAATTCAATCATTAAATGTTACTGTTTTTCTTTTCGGGCATTTCACTTTCTTGCAATTGAATTTTGTTTTCAGTGGTCATTACATTTAAGTATCTTGAATAAATAAGATAATAATGAAATACATGTATCACGAAGTTTGGGAATAAAGTGACGGGTGGCATCAAAATTTTTCACACAATTGAGATATGGAAAAAAGACTGGAAATAAATTATTTGCATCGATATGTCCTGATGACAATTTTAAAGAAAACAAAACAAGTGTTTGCATAAATTGAAGAATTATTTCCTATGTTGTGATTGAGAGGTTATGTTGGGGGAGGAGGGGGGGCGATGACATCTTCCTCATTGGCTCAACGGGGCCATTCGTTCAAAAAGGTTAAGAACCACTGGACTAGAAGACCTCCAAGGTCCCTTCCAACTCTGTTTATTCTTTAGCAAAAGTTCATGTATAAAGTTACACAGTGCTATTAGAAATAAGTGATAGGCTTATCTGTTTTTAAACATCACATTATAAATAAACAAAACTTCAAGTCCACAAATCTTTCCTTTCTTTCTGTAGGCAGCACTTCTATAATGTCTTCAGTTTATATAGATATTTTCCATTAATGATAACTATGGGCAATGTTGCACTGGTACTCTGGTTGTTACTCTAGTTATCAATTTGCATCTGGATCGAAATACTTTTTATCACCAATATAGCCTTACATGACTCAGCGGCCAGGTACTTACAGGGCACAAATCATTTCTCTTGGCAAGAATGTTCTGAATGTGAGAGGATGCTGACGGTCTCCTGCCCATGGGAGTTAAGTGATCAGGACCCAAAGATATTCATCTGGGGCTGCCCCAATACTCTGGAACAGTGTTTCCCAAACTTGACAATTTTAAGGCATGTGGACTTCAACTCCCAGAATTCCACAGCCAGCATTGCTAGCTGTGGAATTCTGGGAGTTGAAGTCCACATGCCTTAAAATTGTCAAGTTTGGGAAACACTGCTCTGGAACAACCTGTCTCTTACAATAACTTGTATGAGGTTTCTTTGACCTTTTAGTTTTACTTATTTTGTTAGGTGCTCATGATCACAGAACTGCTTTTAATTTGATTTTTAAAATGGGCTATTGTTTTTAATTTTTAAAAATTGTATTCCTGTAAACCACCCTCAAGTCGGGTGAAGTAGGTGGCATGCAAACTTTTATTTAGATTAATGCCTGTCTATAAAGGCCACGATGCTCCCCCATAACCTGCAACTGCTTCCTTGGCTTCTCCAACATCAATTACACCCCAGAGGAAGAGGATAGGGGAGCTCCTTCTGTGGAACTTTCCAGATCAAGAAGTGGAAGCAGCCACAGAGAACGCAGAGGGATTTAAAGGCCCGGAATATGGAAACAACTCCAGTACCCTCATTCATCCTGCAGGAATAAATTCAAAAATATCAGCTAAGAATCCTTAAAAAACAACATGGTAAAACCATTTAAGGATGACATATGTCCCTATGCGGGTGAAGGGGAAATCAGGTGATTGGAAAATTGAGTTTGGCATAGTATCAGTTCCAATCCAGATTAAACAAGCAAAGCCATAGACAAAACTGTGGAGGTATTTTTCCCCCCTTCTTCCTTTAGCCTGATCTCAAACATTTATTTAAACTCTACAACGCAAAGCAGTCTATTTTGGCAACAAATGGTATTTAAACATTCTTTTGATTATTCCTTTAAAACTGTAACTAAGCCCTAAGTTGATGAAAGAGCTGAATATGCAATTAAATATATGTTGCACGGAGGGTTTGTTATTGTATAAACAAATCTAGACTGTGCAGTAAGTAACACTGAGAATTTACAATGTTTGCAAAGAACAAGGAGACAAGGTTCTACTATGTTTTCTCTTACAAAGAGAAAATGAACCTAGGAGAACAGGCGACTCCTCTTTCTCATGCCTCTTTTTCGTTTAAAACAGGAGAGACGGGGGTGGGGGTAGGGGCGGGATACACTTGAGATGGATATTGATGCAGCCAAACACTATTTTTAACACAGGTAATCCTTGACTTAAAACCACACTTGACTCCAAAATTTATGTTAAAGTGATACAGCTGTTAAATGAATTTTTGCCCCATTTTTACGACCTTTCTTGCCACAATTGTTAAGAAAATCACTGCAGTTGTTAAGTTAGTAACATGGTTGTTAAGTGAATCTGGCTCCCCCATTGACTTTGCTTGTCAGATGGTCACAAAAAGTGACCCCATGACCCCAGGACACTGCAACTGTTACAAATGTGAATCAGTTGCCAAGTGTCTGAACTGTGATCATTTGACCAGGGAAATGCTGCAATGGTCGTAAATATGAAAAATGGTCATAAGACACTTTTTTCAGTGCTGTTATAACTTTGAACATCAATTAAATGAACTGTTGTAAGATAAAGACTAACTGCACAAACAATTCTGTTAAATAGAACAGGGGTCCCCAACCTTTCTGGGTTGGCGGCCCAAGGTGAGCATACACATGTGCAAATGGGGCCATGCATGTACGAACGGGGCCGTGATTGTACGCGCAACACAAGCAGGGCCACGAACGCCCATGCGATGCTTGGGAGATGCTAGCCCCCGCACAATGCCACAATGCTAGCGCTTGCAGTGGGATGGTGCGCTTGCAGTGACCATAGCGTGAATGAGGGTGTGGTCGTGGCAACAGTTGCACCCGCCCAACACTTACGGTATTGCTAGCACCTGGGCGATGCCACCCTAGAATGAGTGGGGGTATGCTCATGGCAACGCTAGCACCCAACCAATGCTCACGGCATTGCAAGTGCCCGCATGACGCCGCAATCCTGGCGCAAATGGGTGGGAGTGCGCACCAGCATGTGCACTGGCCAATCACTCAAGCAGCCCAGTGGCCAACAGCCCACGGCCCAGTAATGGGCCGCAGACCACAGGTTGGTGACCCGATATAGAAAATATATGTCACAATTCCTTCTCTCTTTCTCTGTCTCTGTCTCCCAAACTTCCTTTGACAAACCAATTCTCAAGAAAGCAAGGGACAACATATTTTTGAGTTACAAATGGATCCAGTCACAAAAGTATGATTTCTTGAATACAGTATTAAATGTAAGGGCAATCTGAGAAGCCATGCCTAGTTTGTTTCAATGCCAGAGTCCAAGCATATCAACTGCATTATTTATTTAATTATATACTCAATTTATATCCACCTTCCTGTTCGAAAGAGGACTCGTGCTAATAGGAGTTGGCAATGTAATAAAAATGAACAAGGCAATATGAAAACCTTTAGAAGGGAAGGCCTTTAGATAGGAAGGCCTATCAAATATATTGGTCCCAAGTGATAGTTAGCTTATAAAGGTCACACTGATCTTTAACCTCTATCTACTTCACACTTTCTGTATTCTTATTCTGATTATTTTGTAATGAGCTGCTGGCCTACCTAACCCTTTAAGGGACCTGAATTGCTGAACCTGCACTTGTTTCCCCCCTTCATTACCTAAGTGGATCAATGCAATGCTTGCCTTTTTTAAAAAAAAGTTTAAAACTTTAAAAATCAAAAACAGTTCTATAAAGTTTTTTGTACATGTTTTTTAATGATTTCTGTTTCTAAAAGTGTGAAATTGACAAGATTTCTGCCAATTTCCCCTTCCAGACCAAGTGGGTAGAATTTTTTTTTTTTTTTTTTTTAAAAAGTTTCATTGGTAGAGGCAAAACTAGACCTCCCTCCCTTCCTTCTTGTAAAACTGACAGGACTTCTACCTCTTTCTCTCTCTAAGCCAGGGGTAGGCAACCTTGGCTCTTTTATGACCCGTGGACTTCAACTCCCAGAATTCCTGAGCCAGCCATGTTGAAGTCCACAGGTCATAAAAGAGCCAAAGTTACCTACCCCTGCTCTAACCAAATGACTGGAGAATGCTCAAATAATTCTTTTTCTTTTCTTATGGATCTATGCTAGATGAAAAGAGGGAATCATCAATAAAAATAATAGAAAATGTCAACGGAAACTCCATCTCCTCAACTTGCTCACTGAGAGGAAAGTGACTGGTTCTTTTCTTTGCACAAATGGCACATGAAAGAGAAAAAAGAGCATTCATCAACCGGAGACCTTGATTAGAACACCTCAGACCAGAAGCTGGGGTTGAACTGGAGGAAAGGGCAGAGACTTAGAAAGGGGCTTCTTAAAATTACTTCACTTTCAGGTAATTTACATACAGGGGTGAAGATGCTAAAGGCTACAGTGGCCTTGTATCTCAGCGGCAGACCTTTTTTCCTGCATGCATATGTTCCTGCCCAATTCCTATAAGGCCAAGGAAAGAATCTCAGGTTGCAAATCTGCAGTCCTGGCAGATCAGCTGACAGATGGAAATGGTCTGATTGAGAACATACCTGCGTGCTGTCAATATTACGGTGCAGACATGGATTTGGTAGCAGGCGCAAAATAATTCTGATGTCTCCAGCTAATTTCTTCCCTTCTTGTTTGCTTGAGTTGATTTTACTTCCTAATAACACCCTTAACTTTCTCGGAGTGTGTATAGTACACCCCCCCCAAAAAAATATGAAGCCTTTTCTTTATGAATATGTATTTTCAAGTTCAGTCATTTAAAGTGAATTTGGGCAAATCTTGAGTCAGGTCTATGCAGACATGAAGAGGACTGAAGTGCTAAAACTCAGGATCCTAACCTGCCTCTCTCCACTCCCAAGAATTTATCTATCAAAGATGCTTTAATTTATATTCCCATACTGAGCAGGAGGTTGGCTTTGATGGACTAAATTCTCCTTCCAAGGCTGAGGGTTTATAAGCGTGTAGTTCTCTCAAATGTCCATACAGTTTTTGTGCATTCAGTTGAACATGTCAAATTGTATCTGCCAGCCTTCCAGCTGCAATAAAGAGTCCCCTCCCCACCTCCCCATACATCCAGAGTTCTCCAGCCACTGCACAGAGTATATATGAAGGGATCCTGCGTAATCTTACCTCTTGCCCACTTGAATAATGGCATCTACTTCACATGCATTGCGAGCCCTGGGTTTTCTGTCACTCAAAGTGGGCAATGGGGTTGTCTTTTCAAATTAAGGCAGCTCTCCAGATCCGCGGGCAGGATCATTCTATGAGTCTCTTTTGAAAACGCAACCCGAAGAACCTAATTTAGGAGTATAAGGGAAGACTATTTTAAAGTTCTTGTGGCAAAAAGCCACGATTAGTACAAAGTAGAGGTTGCTTCCTTCCCAGCACACAACTTTTCAGGTGCTAGTATGCCGGAAAGAAGCACGCCCAGACCCCGACCAGATTGCATTGGGATGCAAATGAGGTGGAGCGCGTGCTCCTCGCAAGGAAGAGAGATTGTTTATGGAACCTCAGCCAGAGCCACGCGCCGGGCGCACGAAGTTGCCAAGCGAGCTTCCCATTGGGTGGGAGGCGGCTCGGGAGCCAAGCGGGCGGCGGGGATTGTGTGTGTGTGGCGCACGGCGCGTCGCGTGCTGCTCCCGGGGGCCCGCGAGCGGCGGCAGCAGCAGCGCGTGTTGATAAGGGGCCGAGCAGCGAGGACCTCGCAGCAGAGGCGTCTTGACAGAGCGCAAGGAGCAAGAGCGCAAGAAAGGGGAAAGGAATCGCCGTTGCTCCCAACCGCAGCTAGGAGTTGTTGCCCGGGTTGCGCACCCAACTTTGACATCTTTAAGAAGCCGAGTGCCCATTTTTCAATCTTTTTTTTCTTTTTTGTCTTTTACGGCAACTGATTTTCTGCAACAACTTTGGGCTTTTAACAAACTGCACCTACACGAAGACCAATACCGGGGTAAATGCCCCACGATGAACAGCGGGGTTCTAGGAACAACCATGCAACCAACAGCCCACGCGGTTTGCAAAAGTTACTCGCTGCACAGTTGCAATAGCAGCGGCGGCTCTTTGGGGATCAAAGTGCAAGCAGGACAGAGCGCGAGCTCCTCTTCGTCCGGGGTGCCCCAACCATGGGGGGCTGCCACGGGCTGTCCCGGCCAGGTTCAGCCTTCCAACTCGGCAACGCGCTGCAGAGGCTCCAAGCGGCGCTCGAACTCGCCGGAGCTGCTACGCTGCAAGAGACGCTTAGCATTCCCGGGCTTGACAGCGCAGCAAGGCGGCGGCGCGGCGGCTGTGGCTCGGCGCAATGAGCGGGAGCGGAACCGCGTCAAGCTGGTCAACCTGGGCTTCCAGACCTTGCGCCAGCACGTGCCCAACGGCGCCGCCGCCAAGAAGATGAGCAAAGTAGAGACTCTCCGCTCCGCCGTGGAATACATCCGAGCTTTGCAACAGTTGTTGGACGAGCACGACGCCGTCAGCGCCGCCTTCCAGGACGGTCTCCTGCCAGCCGGCCCTGACGCTGCCTCCGCTGCTTGCGTTGGCAGCAGCAGCAGCGTGTATTCCTCCGCCTCCCCCTCTTTTGACGGCCGCGAGGGCAGTTCTGTGCCGGGTTCCCCGCACTCGGCTTATTCGTCGGACGAGAGTGGCTACGAAGGGGCGCTCAGCCCGGAGGAACAGGAGCTGCTCGATTTCACTGGTTGGTTCGGGAGCTGCTGAGCTGGAACGGTAAGGCGCCGGCCAGCTGATTTCTAATGAAACGCGCCAGGATTGCGCTTTTTTGAACTTCCCAGAATCTTCCTCCAGTATTACATTTTTTAATATATTTCATTGCAAAAATCTGGAGGCGGGGGATTCCATACATTTTGGTTGATTTTTTTTTTTTTTTTAAGATAGCCAAGGTAATTTAAGCCTCCTTTAGGCTGGGCTTCGTTTCGGATGGCGTTGCGTGCTTGTCTGGCTCACCTCCAGGCAGATGCAATTGAAAGGGAGCGTCGCTGATGAACGCTGGGTGAGAATTCTGCTCGGCGAACATTTAGCCTAGCATCCAGCCAGTCCCAGACAAGAGTGCTAAAATGTCTCTTGAAGGCTGCAAATACTTGGCTTTCCCGCAAGGCTTTCTCGTCCCAACTTTGCAAAACGAAAATCCTTTCGAATGCAAAAGTTACTGGGCCAGTGAGCTTGAGAGAACAGGAGAACTAATGACTTGTTACGTTGAGTGTTCTTTTCTTTCTGATGATTGAAGGGGGGGGGGAGGTCACCATGTGTAAGTGGCTTTAACGTTGTCCCTAAGTGATGGCAGGCATTTAGTTCTTGCTATCTCAAGTAAAATATTGTACCATGTGAAATAGAATATTCATGCTGAATTTCTAGTTGCAAAGTTTTTGTCCACCTTTGCTTCCAGGTAAGGTATTATTTCAACTGGAGATAAGAATCTGTACTTCATATTTACAAACCAACCCTTATAATGAAGGTAGACTAAGGGATTAAGCAATCAACTAGGCAAGGCCCAGGAGTTTCATTTGAATGTTGTTCACTTCGTTGCAGCTTACGCAAAAGGAAACTTTCATCAAAATGCTGCTATTGTTTCCCCTTTCAACAATCTAGTCTGCCCTTCTGAAAGAAAGCAGAAGGATGGTAGATTTATAGACCTGCTTTCCCTACAGAAATAGGGTTGGAAGTTGAAACAACATATGGACAGAACACTATTTGGAATGTGTAGGCATGGGGGACAATGCATTTCTTTAGCAGAGTTTGGTAGTTGAGCACAATGCCCCGATTAGTCTGGCTTTGGGATCAGGGAGAAAGTCTTGGGCTGCTGTTATGGATCTTTTCTGTCAGTCACCTGCTCCTAATGGCTTTTTCTGTTTTCTTTTTGTAGCAATACTGAAAGCAACACTGTGTAGAGAACCTCAGTACCTCATTGTCCCAGGCTCCGATGCAGCAGAAGAGCACCAGGAACCTCTGATTTAACATGCACCTACTCTCTTCAAGCCTCATTGCAAAGGAAGTTGGATCTTTCTAACCACATTCTCTCTGTGTTTGTTTATGAAACAAAAGACTGGTAGTTTTGATTCTTTTTTTTTAAAAAAAGTGCAATTATGTAAATACATTCTAGGGGCCATGGTTTATCTGCTGTCGTACAGCAGTTTATGGTACCTCTGACTCTTGAACAACCAATGAAAGGCTTCTTCTCTGAATCTAGTGGCAGCTGGAGATCTGTTGGGTTTCCAACTTAATGTCTGTCAATAAGGGTAGGGGTGAAATAAAAGCTTGATGCTTCCTTTTTCTGAATGGGAAAGGGACTATTTGAACTTCAGAATTAGACTTTATGTGTGTAACTTGAGCTGCCTATGGGAACAAATATGAAGACTTACTTTTCTGCAAGTCTCTTTAATGCAAGAGGAAAGACTTATAGAAAATTGCTTATTAACTCTATCAGATAGAAAGTTTGAGAACTTACCCAATCTAGACAAAAATTTCTTAACATTTTGTACTAAGGAAGCATAGAGCTGTTTATCTTAAATGTGGTGTTGAGGATTTTGTTTGCTTGTTTATTTCGGGTCTGGTGTGAAGGTTCATTTATCTAAAAAACCGGAAAAAACTGAAGTTTTATTTTTAATGTATTGAAGGTATTTTTGTATGCACTTGCTAGATTTATTGACTTGCTTATATGCAGTTTTTAAAGAGTATCCTATTTTATGTAAATCAACTTTATAAATAAAATCTATTTATAATAGGCTGTGTTTCCACAAATGTCAATTTCTGTTTTCAGGGTTTGTGCTAAGGCCATAGAGAAATACTTTCTACATTTCAGTTAATATAATTGCGGAATAGGTAACTAGACTGTTTATATTGTTATGTATTTTCAGTGCCTACAAGGCAAACTATTACCTCACACACAAAAGGGACAAAGTAAAACTACTGAAAATGATAGCTTTTTCATAATCTAGGATTTAAATATCTATCCTTACGTAATCAGTGGAATGGATCCTTTCATTTATTAATATATTATTTAAACTAATAATGATATTGCACTAAATCATAATTTTCTTAGTTTTGGTTTAAGGTTACTGTGGATCAGGCCTTCGCAATTTGTGAATCATGATTTATGGCTTAGCATGTGTGAACCAGGTCATTATGCATTGCCTTGAAAACTTGACTAAAGCAAACTAGGACTTGGTATCTAATGTAATCTCGTCCATTGAGTTATCAAAAGGAATCTAAGAATAGATACATAAAAAATTGTTGGCTGGCTGATTTGGGCCAGACACACACTCAGCCTAACTCACCTTAGGATTTTTGTGTGGGAAAATGGGAGGAGTACTAAGCATGTTCACCCCTTTGAGTTATTTATAGAAATATTAAAGAGGTTTTAAAAAATTAAATAATAAAGCCAAAGCCAAAATAACTTGGTTTACTTCCTGTGAGCAACATTTGGTACAACATAATCTAGATTGTAACTGAAAGAGATAATCTTTCTTCATTTGATTTAAACCACCAGGAACAGCCAAAGTAATAGCTGAGGTACTGGATGGCAATAAAGTGAAGACTGCTGGGATCATGTTGTGGTACATGCTATTTTGCTGTTGTGATTTGCTCAGGTTAAGTTCTATTAAAATTGGTTAACCACGGATGTCAGAATTTGCTTCATTCTTAACAAGAGAAAAAACAAAAAAGGACTGATGAATATATTTTCCATGTGTATCCTTAAGTTATTGGTTATTTAGAACCATTTCAAAGATATGCCTGAATTCCCAGTGTGACAAGTATCTTCTTTTGGGCTCCTTTTTGAGTATTTAAAAATTCCTTTTCAGTTTGTAAAAATTATCTTAAAGAAAGAAAATAAACCCCTAACAATTTTAACATAATTTATTTTTTGGAAATACAGATGTACCCCCAGAGTAGGAGGAAACTTTAATAGCACCATTGTGATAAAGCTGCTGTCTATGCTTTGTGACCTTGTAATGTATGAAAGGGGTGGAATTTGTATCATGATAGTATGGTGCTAACTTAATTGTTTTGGTGAAAGTCTTTGATTCTACAAATGCTTCTGTTGGGAAACAAAAATTTGAGTCGTGTGCAGAATAAGGAAATAGCACAAATTTTTGCTTTTTCAAAAAAAAAAAAATACCAGAATTCCCCTTTCTAGCCACCAACTTTTTACTAATTTAAATTATTTGTAAATTAGAATAGTTGTGGAAATGTCCCATAGGCTTAAGGATACTCAGTAAGATATAAGTGATTCTTCCTAAATAGCAGGGTTTCACTAATTTAAAAACAAATTGTACAAGGCCACAAAAATAATACAGTGATATATTATGATGTGAGGAGTACGGAATGGTTTTTTAAAAAATTAATATACTTTATGTTGAATATGTGTACAGGTACTCCTTGACTTACAATGACAATTGAGCTCAAAATTTCTGTTTGTAAGTGAAACATTTGTTAAGTGCGTTTGCTCCCATTTTACAGTCTTTCTTACCACATTTAAGTGAATTACAGTAATTGTTAAATTAGTCAAACTATTTTTAAGTGAATCTGGCTTCCCCATTGACTTTGCTTGTCAGAATGTCGCAAAAGAGGATCACATGATCCTGGGACCATCATAAATAATGAGCCAATTGCCAAGCATCTTAATTTTGATCTCATGACCATGGGGATGCTACAACGGTTGTAAGTGTGAAAATTGGCCATAAGTCACTTTTTCCAGTGCCATTATGACTGAAGGTCACTAAACAAACTGTTGTAAATCTAGAATTACCTGTATAGTTCAAATTGTCACACTGGGTGGTTCGATTTTGTTAATGTATAATATGTGTGAATCCAACCTACATGTCTGGAGTCTTGAAAGAAAACTTTTATTTGATTCACTGGTTCATCTGTCCAAGAAACTTTAAAAAAAATACTTGTGAAATATCTTTACTGTAAAACAGAAAGCAGACATTGATCAGTTTTGCTGATAGGAACAGATAAGATAACCTTCATTGTCATTTTTTTGCTGTGGGCACAACGTCACACATCAAAAATGAAATTTAGTTGCCTGATCTCAAAGTGAAACATACATGATGCACACCTAAACATACTACGAACAACATATGTATAGACCCACATCCCTGCATATACATATCAAATAAATATTAAATACTGTCCATCTTGAATATATAACGGAAGGAGGAAGCTTGAGAGTTCACAAGGTTAATGCTATATGGAATGAAACTATGGCTGAATCTGGATGTTCTGCTACCGATACCATGAAGCTTCCTCCCAGAAGGTAACAAGGAAGACAGGTTGTGAGGAGGATGTGTAGTGTCCCAGATGATCTTATGGACCCTGCTCAAGCAACGCTTCTGTGCTATGTCCTGGATGGCAGGGAGGGAACTGCCAATGATCTTTTCGGCCATTCTCACCACTCTCTGCACCACCTTCCTGTCTGAAGCAGTGATGCTTCCAAACCAGACTGATGCTGTATGACAGGATGCTTTCAATCATCCCCCTGTAGAAAGTGGTCAGGACAGGAGAAGGAAAAAGCTGCATTCATTATTTCTTGGGTCAAGTATACAATAAAAAGGAAGAATATCTGCAAGGGAGAAAGAGACAACGGGGATTCTCTCTCAATCTACACAGCGGAATGCAACAAAAATTCATTTTAATGTATGCCGATTAGAGTGTATTTAAATGACAACAAAGTTATTATTCTAGTGCTGGAAGTTTTGGAAATCAAAACCAACCTTTTCTCCATATTAACAAGCATCAGGCCTGTGACATGGGATTTATCTAAGAATGTATGGATTAATGGTCTGCCTCTTTTCTTCAAATCGCTGTTATTTTTCTGTGTGATGTTGTACCACATAGAATTCATAGATTAGTTTCACTCGTGCTAAGTTGTGGTTTAACTGATTTAAAATTAAACTTCAGTAGACAATTTTGTTAAATAAATTGGATTCACATGAAACATGACACTATCAGTCACAATTTACTGACCAAAGCTCAATCAATCAGACAAATTATTGTATATTCAATGGAAAGTGTGAACCCGGTCATTATAGAGAGTGGACAATGTCCAGACTTGAAGGATAGAAGAGGAGACAGAAAGCTTTGAGCTGTGCCACTAAAATTACTAATACCCTGCTCAGGAAGTTGTTTTACAACACAGCCTTTGCTAAAAGCAAATTCATTAATACTGCTGTTACTTTTACTGACTTTTATTATAACTGACAGGGAGAAAAAAAATTGCAGATAAAATGCCTTTAGCCAACAAGAAAGGGGATTATAGGATGAAGGAAAGTTTGTATGTATTGTCATTTTCTCGAGCCTCCCTGTCCTTTGGGGGAAAAGTAGAGGCGTAGTTCTTTTTTTTAATTCCATGTTGTTGTTTACCCATTGTTGTCGATGAAGACCTTGACACCATGTGCTTTTTAAAATCACGTTAAGACTAGATATGGTGTATCCAAAGATGACTGATCAGGCCAATTTGGGCATAAAATGTTCTCGCTCATGTTAGACATCTGTAGGCACTGCAGTTGTTGTGCTAGTGGCTCAACATAAGCAGCTCAAGCATATGTTGTGTTTTAGCAGTGTGCCTTGCCTTGTAAGTTTGACAACCCTTGTAGATGAAGCCATGACAGCCCTTGTAGATGAAGCCACAGCCCTTGTAGATGAAGCCATGACAGGGCAGTTTTGTGCCAGAATTGTCTCTATACAGGGAGCCCTGTACTGAGTCTTTGAAATATTTCTTCTGCTCTTCATGAGAGTGACTTCCAGCAGAGTTCCCCCCCCCCCAAAAGAGATGCTTGGATATGCATTCTAGGAAAAAAAAATCAGTGTTCTGGTACTTTGTCTTGTCATCTGATGACAAAGCCAAGTTATGTGGAAGAATTCAGAATAGAGAAGAACAGTAAGTACAAGAGCTTGTAGGCGTTCAGTTTTGTTACTGAGTTGATTCCCTGATGTTCCCGCACAGTGCAGGGCAACCTACTGGTTGTCTTTGCCATTCTGCAGTTAACTTCCACAACAATAGTTACACGTTCAGGAGAGGGCACTGCCAAGGTAATTACATTGGTCCATTGGCTGTAGTTTCTGCTCT